ACGGTAAGATTTTCATGTAGAAATTAGTTGAGCATTATTGCGGAATTAAGGGATTTATTGTTACTACGGTAACAGTAGAACTTATTATAAAGAACAAAGTTACCGGTCAAATTTTGAAAATTTTGCCTCTATGTTGAGTAGTAGCATTTTAAAATTGAAACATATTGTCGATGTAAGAGTTCCTGCACCATATATATTTCTATTATCATTTTAAAGCTAATCAATTATATTTTTGAAAAATGAACAAGACTATGGAACATTTAAATGAAAGAACTGTTTAATTATAAAATCAAATAAAATTTATATGTATTTTACTATATAATTTTAAATTGAGCGATACTTTTTGGGAGTATGCACATGTGTCAACAAATTACTTAGCATCTGTGGATCCACGTATAATTTGCATTTTCCTTTGCGAGTTGAATTAGTAACGGTAATAAATGTAACAATCAATAACGATACATGTATTAGGTGATGCTTTTTGTTTAGCACTAGTACGCAAAGAAATCAGCCGTTTCTAGTTATATAATTTAGTTCGTCATACATATAATATTTTGTTAAGAAACTCTAGAACTTTATAATATACAAATTTTAGCAATAAAAGAAATTTGGGAAGGATTGTTTAATTCACAAGTATGTTCCAAACGATTGATTATAATTTTTGTCTAAACAGTACGCATGTTGTTTTTACAGTGTCGTCTAATATCCCGAGGATCACAATCCTGACATCCCATATGCCCGACAAACGAAATCCTGAAAATCCTACATCCCGAAAAGCTACTATCCCGAAAACTCAACTTCCCGAAAAACCAACTTCCCGAACATCCAAAATCCCGAAAAGATAACATTCCGAATATCCAACATCCTGAAAGGTCAACATCCCGAAAAGCCTACATATCGAATGCTCAACATTCTAAACACTAATATCCCATAGTTCAAAATCCTAAAATGTTAAAAAATGACAATTCAAAAGTCCAACACATAAACGCATGAAATTGCATATACTTTTTATATTATGTTGTATTGATTGTCATAAATTTTTGCAAACAAGAAAAAAATTGGGTTCCGAACTACCTCCAATCTGGAAATACTATATTTAACACTAAATTTGATTTTAAGATTGGAATTAGGATTAGAGTGGAGAACAAGGTTATATATAAAATTACCTGTTCAACATTTTTATTAGTGAACCTAAATTTGAGCATTGGCTCCTCATATTTTCACAATTTTCATTTTCTTTGCTTTATAATTGTGCATTCCTATTGGTTGGCGATCAAGAATTTAAATTGTCAGGTGCCAGATATGCACCATTTTTTCTTGATAAGAGTAGCTGATTACCGATTATTAACTATCGCTATTGCTTTATTATTATAAAAAATAATGAAATAATGATCATGTATTTCTTGTAAATAATGTGGAACGTGGGAATAACGATAATTTAACGACCAATAAATTTTAAATATCGTAATTTTGAACAAGGATTTGAATTTTCAGGATTTTGAACTGTCGGGATGTTAGTATTCGGGATATTGAATGCTCGGTAAGTTGGGTTTCAGGATGTTGGATTTTCAGTAAGTTGGATTTCGGGATGTTGAACTTTCGGGAGGTTGGACTTTTGGAATTTCATTTGTCGGACATATCAGCTGTCGGAATTGTGATTTTCAGGATGTCGTGCCGAATCCTTTCAGACATAGCATCCTTCTAATAAGAAATTGTGAAGCTGCCATTGTCAAGTCCAATGTTACCAAGGTATCTATCATCAAATCAGATGTTCGGGTAGAATTAAATACATTCTAAGATCTCTTTTTGCACCATTAATGAGTTTATTTCTAACGTCACAAAGTTAATAACATAAAAATACTAGTTGTCTTGATACTTTTTCCACTATGTCTCAATGAATTAGTTGATAAGTATAATTAATTAATGGAATGTTTCAACCATTTACCCTCTGATTCCATAAGCATATGGAATTCTTCGAATGCCCAAATTGGTGACAGCAATTTATGTCCCTTTCATAAAGAATGTTTGTAATTATCCCTACAGCCTACAAAAAGACAAAATATCCTCGTTAGAAGTTTCTGGCTTGTCATGACGCTGCTCTAGTGCATGTTGTTGAAATTCAAAAGACACTTTAATAACAATTACATTATAACAGTGTAAGCATATTAAATAAAAGTATTTTTATACAATAATATAATCTTCGCAAAAACAAGCAACGTAAAAAAAATTACCTCAAGTAATAAGGATTTAAATAATGTTACATGATCATTTTTGTATCACTAAAGTTACAATTTCATACATGTATGAACTAGTTATAATATAAAAAGAAACATTAACACAAGATGAAGATGAGAAAGTAATAGATTAAATCTTTCCTTTACTCGATTATATATTGTAAATTCTTTTTTGACTTTGTAAATAGCTAATAATTTTGCGTCCATTACTTTGAAGCTACTTTTGATGCTTAGAAAATGATAATATGTGTAAGATAAACTCAAAATGGTCTTAGAATTGTAGTAAATTCACTTTGCAATAAGCAGAGATGTGTTTGTCTTTAGAACTTAAAAACATGAACTGATAAGATATCATATATAAGTGTGGTTGCGGTTGTTTTTATAATAAATCTGCAATTATTAATTTGCTGGACATTTGATAATAAAACGAAAAGCTTATAATAGTTAATGCAAAATTGTAAGCTACCATATCTTGAATATTAAAGAGTAGTCAAGTCCATTGTGAATATCAGTCGTTGATTTCTTTAATATGTCTGTCCTTTCATAAATCATTTGTTAAATACATGTATAATTTAATTGTTTTTATAGATGGGTTAAAAAGTATAAAATAGTCAATGATATTTTTTTAGCTTTTCACGTTGTGCGTTTTTATATACGTATGTAGTCTGTTAAACTATTATTTAATGAATAAATATAATATCCAATATACAATATACAATAATAAATACAAAGTTTATCATCTCAAAAAAAATAATAATATAAACAGTTTGTGTAGTTATTATCGATATATGAGGAGAAAAGCACTGACAAAACTAAAATATAAAGTGATTTATAGCACGCACAATAAAAAAAATAAAAACTACTTTCACTTGTCCAAACAGATTAATTTTGTCTGCTCCATTCATATTTGCGATATAAATATTTTGTTGTTGTTTGACTTCACTGTTCGTGTTTGTGTGTTCTTGTTTTTGGTCGGTAGCGGGTTCTTGTGTGTCGAATATTATGCTACTATTCGCAGGTTTTGAGTGGTGATCGTCAGACTTGGTTATAGTTTCTTGCACGTCTGAGTAATCCTTTTTATCAGCGTCTAATGAACAGTCAATTTTATTTACTTTAACGTCTCCAACACGTAGATTATCGAATCCGTTACATCCAACGCTCGAAGAACTAGACTCGACATTCGCGCCACGACCGACGACCTCCAAAGAAGGAAATAGTGCAGTTGAGATGTCACCCGATATTTCTGCCTTCCCGTCAATTTGATAGAGTTTATCAAAGCCGTCAATTTTGACCAAATTTTGGTTATTTTCTATAATTAGATCTTCGTCAATATGAGATAATTCAGGAAGCGACACTGTTTCGAGTCGAGGATTTGAAGATATCGTGAGAGTGCCGCCGATTTCAGATAATTTGGGTAGGGAGAGAGAGGTGAATGAGTTTTCCATATATGTTAGACTTGAAGTTACTTTGTCGAGTGAGGGAAAATATGTTGACACGAGGTTTTTGAAGTTTCCTTGTCCCAATAAACTTAAACTAATTGCCTGGTAAAAACAATTAAATTTTTTGAGTTTTATGAATTAACTTCGGAAAAAAGTTCAACTGAATATATCGAAAGAATTGAATAAAAAATTTACCTCAAACTGAAAATTCCCTCTACCATTTCCAATAATTTCCAATGACTCGGCAGACAAAAGATCCGGCAACGCCAAACTCCTCATATTCACATTTCGCAGCAACCCTAAACTACTTACACGCGACGCAACAACACCCTTCACTAGTTCAATCGCAGTATCCGCAATCTCGAAATTCTCGATAGAATTCAATCCAACTGGGAAAGACAACGCTCTCAATCTCGGTGCAGAATTGATATTGAACGTGGTAACAGCTTTTAATCTTGGCACATTGATTGCTGATAAAACTTTATTTTGCGTGAAAATTAAGTTGCTGGCTGATTTCAAGTCTGGTAATGAGAAACTGGTGAGATATTGATTGTATTGTACGGTGAATGTTCCTTGAAGTGCTTGTATCTTGGGAATCGAGAGGCTTATAAGTTTAGTTCCTATTATGGATATTGTTCCCGTGAAAGAGGTGCAGCCGCGTAACTGAGAAATGTCCGATTGATCTTGTACATTGATTACCCCCTGACAACCGGAAAGTTGGCCTATATCATAATAATAATATATATAAGAAAAATAAAATATTTAACTGAATAAATCAAGCTATCATTAATAATGAAATTGAAGACCTTTTACACCGTCAAATACTATAAATAATGCGAAAGAAATAGAAATACGAGTAACAACTTTAGTAAACTTGGTCATGTTTGATATTTAAATTTTACGTGTTTAATAAACTAGAAAGTTTACTTGTTGCTATAGGTATTTATTCGAGGAACTTAATCGTCTCATTTATATTGCAATTGTTTAAGACCATCTTTAAACGAAGCAAAATAATAAGTGTTAATATATCGATGCAATATACGATAGATCGAAATTTTTGTAAGGTGAGCTTACATGTAACGATTAATCATTTAATCGATAAATGAAGCTAAATAATAATTCGATTAATTAATTGTCACTAAATTAAACTCTTTGAATAATATCATCGCCATTCAAGAATGTATTATCGTTATGAAACCTGTAACAAAAATGCTGATGTGACTATAATACAATCTCAAGTCGACAAGACGATATATTTTAAAAATAAATGTATCTTTAATTAAATATCTACGCTTAGTATCATCTTTGCCTTATGAGGAATAGTCGTTAGAATGGTTAGGATTTCTTCGAATTTTAAGAAATAAATTTCAAATTTTTTTTAGGAATAATTTGAATTCGCAATATATTTCCTATGAAAATAAATTTTCATGTTCCAAACAAAAAAATTCTCAAGAATACATTGCAAATTTCAATTTAATATCGATATATGTATATATTGAATTTAGTGTTGCCCTTTGAAACTCAAAAATTGTGGTTAGGGTTTCTAAACCTTTATATGACTTAACTCATGTTTTAGAACGTGCAATTAGATGGATACAACAATTTTCAATTAGCAAATTTGGAGTCTAACAAAATTGTAAGCAAGAAAGCTCAAAATTTGTTCACATACTTTAAACTCAAGTAAATCACATGATTTTCTCTAAATTGAATATACTAAATATATAAATTATTTATCTTGAAATTATTGAACAAAGAAAATTTCTATTGAACTATCATTTCACTATTCATTAAAACAAATTATGAATTAAGATCTTAAATTACTAGCAGCAATATCGAACCACTTTTTGGCTTCTTTTCTATTTTGTAAGGTTCCAGTACCGAACATATCGATTGTTGTTATTACATGTGCATGTATTACGTATTTTGCCATCATGGAACTGTGATATTTTGTTGATATTTATAAGGATAGATAATTTAGGGTTAATATATAATTTATTATCATTTAAAATTTATTCTGCGACCAATGATGTTAATTGTAAGCAAAAATGCTATGTACAACTAATAAATTTTATTTTTATAATCACCTCCCATATAATCACAAAATCAGCATACAGTCAAACAACTCTACAGTCACAACTTCTATATTCATATTATATAAAAATCCTGCTATAATCATTCTTTTTTCAAGAACCAGTTATTATAAAACCCTGCTATAAGCACATTCATGATACTATTGGGCCTGACAGTGTGACTATAGAGAGAGTTGACTATAGTCACATTTTTCAGTTCTCAACTTATTATAAAACATAAAAAATTTGATATCCATATAGTCACAACCTCTTTATAATCACAGTTTTTCATGTCCCGAGGATGTGATTATCGGAAGGTCTGACTGTAGTTATAACTCGTGTTCTATACGTGAAACAAAAAATTATCTTTAGCCAAATTGTAGCTGGATCAGATGGTTACAATTTGGTTAAAAAAATTTTTGTTTCATGTATAGAATACGAGTTATAAATATTTAAAGTATGCTGTTCCAAACTGTAGCTAATTGTGTTTTGTAGTACGCAGCCTTTACAAGTTATGCTATAATTTAATTCGTTGATCTATAAAATTAGTACGCAGAGAAATTACTGTTTATAAAATGCTTGCGGTGTTTATGATGAACAATTGAAATTGGGTTATTGCTCTAGATGCTTTATCGAAGAGGAAGATAGAAAAATGGGTACATTATTGGTGATAAATGATACCATAATATTTCGAGTTCAAATTATTTTGGTCCAAATAATCGCTTAAGTAGATACAGTGCAGGACACTTAAAGACGCAAAAAAAATTAGTCATCTTTAAAGCAAAGTATTTTCATACAAAAAAAGGGGGACTATATTTGGTAGCTAGACCTAGTTACTACAAAATAGCGGCCTCCTTTTTTTGTATGATCTTTGTATAAAGATCCTTTGCTTTAAAGATGACTAATTTTATTGGCGTCTTTAAGTGTCCTGCACTGTATCATGATGGTAACAAGCCTCTCTTTGATATAAGTTTTTTTATAGAAAATTTCGTGATCATAATAATACAGACATATCTCTCTATAAGCACATCATATAAAAACTTCTTTATAAGCACATCTACAATTTATTATAAATTTATAGAAAAATACCACTGCATAAGCACACCTATTTATAAGCACATTTTTTAGTGATATTTGGGGAGGATTGTTTCATTCACCTGTTGAAGAAAAGTTGAGACAAAGATATCGTGTTATTGATTTGGGAATGCATTTGGGTTATATTTTACTATAAAAACCGAAACTTAAATATGCTAATATAAAAATCACAAAACGATTTGGAACAAGAAATTGAATATTTTATAAACATATATGACTGAATATATACTTTTAATCGATATATTAATTCGTAAAAATAAGGATATGACGAAACAATTCCAATTCAAAGTCTTTAGGAATAGACTTATCTCCAATGTTTTCCGACAGAAGACTCTCTCTAAATGCGGAGGTTGACGAGTATAATGTGTTGAATGTATTACAATATGAAGATTCGTCTTTTGAATTCGTTAAAAAAATTTAATAATTTTTAGATAACTTAGTCATGCCGTATATATTTAGTTTTCTTTCAAAGACCCAAGCATGGTTTTCAAGCACTTGTGATATAACTAAGGTTGCAACCCAAAATTAATATGATATATCCCTAATGATAAGGTTAACTCGACCAGATTAATGGGTCGAGTTGACACTTATTAAGTTTTATTTGATTATGATTTTTTAGTAATAATTTTATAACGTCAACTAGAATGTACTGTACAATCGGGAAAGTGATTCCGCGCCTTCTTGAAAACAGAAATCAACAAAAAACTGTAATTCTAGGTAAAAAAAAAAAAGGTGGTAAATCTTGATAAGAACTAAATGTGAAATTAGCAAATTTATGCACAAAAACATACAGTATTAGAGTCTGTGTGCAAACATGTAGAAAACTTGTAAAACTTTATATTATATCTAAACGTTATAATATTCATATATAAACGGTCTATATTACGATAAAATCAAAAATAGTATAAAATATTTCAAAACTTAAGTCTGTCGTTATTGATAAAAAACCTATCGTTATTTGTGTTTAATTGGTTAAACTTTCAGCATCTTTACCATCTAAGTTTCCTCGACATGACGGGATATTATGATATAATGTGTTAACCGGTTGACTCTGAATTAACAGATTAGGGTTAGGATTACAGAGGGTGAACACAAGTCACAGAACACTATAAAAAATAACTCGGTCAATATTGGTTTGTTTTGTATAAAACACATGTAATTATCAAAGGTTCGTCTTTATATCGATATGCGCTAAAAAATAAACTAATGTCAATTGCACATGTACATGTACATGTAATAAGTATTGTATGGTCGAAAAATCACATGTAGGTTACAGATTTTATACTTCTATATCCTGAGACCCTTATCATTATCCATACTAAATACGTAACGCTTTTTGTATACTATGTTTTGTTTTAGCGAATTAAAGGATTTATGCCGCAACAAGACTTTGGGAGAGATTGGTAGACTGAACAGTGGATTCTTTCGGTATCTAAAGTCTGTGCCGATATCTACGGATATCGTCGTTTATGTTGATTGGGGGAAGAAAAGATTATGTGTTTCGGGTGGGTGTTAGGAGGATTTCCTTTATTGTTGCTTTTTATAGATAAAAGCCTTAAACTCTTAAAAATATTATTAACAATCATTGCTTTTTCTAGACAAAAGCCTTAAACTCTTAAATAATAACGACAACGGTGATTACACAAAAACGGTTTTTCAATAACAATGCGAAACTACGCCTTTTCTGGTAACCAACGAGTAATACGATATCACGATTGTGGAGAAAAAGGGGAAAGAGTTTTACAAGCAATAATTCGCTTTTAAGAATAGTTGTACGCAAAGATTCAAGCTGTATCTTGCTTGGAGAAGAATTGTACACAATTTTATTCTGTTCTTTATTAGTAGCCCGTGGGCCATTCTTTTATACATTTTCGACGTATTATTATTTTTTGTACTATCAAAGAAAAAGAAAGCATTACATTTTACTATTAATAAAAATAAAAAAGGGTTCACAACGGACGCTCTATCATCTATAGAAGTAACTGTTACAAAATAAATCGGAAGCTAACGGAACCGTGACAGGGAGACGCTGAAAACTGATGAGAAGATGCTGAAAACTGATGTAGAAACGCTGAATGATGAGGAGATGCTGAAAAACCATGAGGAGATACTGAAAACGATGCGGGAATGGCATAATTTCGTGTCGCATACTAAAAGGGAGCTTGTTGTTTTTATTAGCATGTCGTCATGCTGAAAAATCCACAAACCGCATTTGTTGATATTCGTAACGAAATTTGCTGCTGTTTTGATGAATAATTTACAGCAGCAATCATTGCTGTAAACTCTACCGATTTTGGAAATCAGCAACACTACACATACATTGATCCGCGTCAGTGACATCCACGGCTCGTTTTCGTCGTTTGTCCCTGAAAGGCCATAATCGAGGAAGTTTGTTCGCCGGCGATAACACTATCACTCGATAGTGTAACACCGTTTTCAAAGTACCATGGGTCGATCATATGGATCGATCACTATTTATTGTGGCTGATGAGCCCGTAGCCAATAAAAAATTCCAATTGACTTGGTAATTCTGGTTCGTTTTCATTTTGGTTTTTGGAGAGCAAAATTGCGGTAAATTGAGTATGAACGGTATGGTCGGAATAAGTAAAGTGCGTGTTGGTCTTTTTAAAGGTACAAATACATATTATATTGGTGAAAACACTTATAATAGTGAGGTAACTCATGAAATTAGAGAAATTCAACCCTATTTTTAGGTTTATTCTTGAAATTTATTACCTCATTTTCTTCAAGATGTCCTTCCTCCGAATTATAGTTATATAATCCAACATATTTCTGAACTATTATAGAAATTTTGAAATTTATCAGTTTGAAATTAACACATTTATTAATGTTACAACCATTAATTATATACAAACATGGTTTGCTGCTTTTGAAGAACATTCAAAACTACAATGTCACAAATGTAAGGATATGGAATCAAAGGGAAACGAGTTCTTTTTCGAGAATCAAGTTATTGTATTCACAGCAAAAAGATTATTATTGTAATGTTTAGCTGGTGGACGAAATGGAAATTCAATATTTCAGCATCTAAAAGAAAATACTGTAAATTATAATGCTTTTGGTTGTGGTTAAGCGATTCTTCAAGAATAAAATTCATAAATAGGAAAAGCTTTTATTCTTTGTATTGTTACAGAACTAATGAGCTGAGTGCATGAACGAATTTAGCAAACAGGTGAGATTTAATAATTTGAATTGTTTTGCTTTACACTCAAGGAAGAAATTATGTAGCCGAAAGGGATGGTGTAGACAAACACATCTACAAAATAACAATAAGTCTTTGATATTGCAACAAAAAAGAATTAGGTCAATCTTTTTTATTTGAATGCGTATATCTGTGCTTTCCATGTTTTATGTTTGAATTTCTCTGATTTCATGAGTTACCGTTACTTCACTAACATAAGCGTTTGCACCAATATTTATATATGTATCGGTATTGATATCTTTAAAAAGACCAACACGCACTTTACTTATTCCATCCATACGGTCCATTCTCAATTTTACCCGCAATTTTGCTCTCCAAAAACCAGAATGAAAACGAATCAGAATTACAAAGTCATTTGTTTAGTTTGATCGGAAAACCTTGCACAGATTCAAGGAGTGCCTGGTAAGGACTCAAACACAATATCTTTTTAGAAAAATGAAAACTAAAGAATTGGGGTGATTTAGAATGGAATGATACTCACAATTCTGTCCTGATTACGTAGTCTAATCGAAAAATGCGTTATTTATTTTGCAATGTTTCATTAGAACTACGCAGAAGTATCATATCTCAATATACAATAATCTAATACTTAACGTTCACTAATCAGATTTGAGCAAAAGATACTTCCATTCTATTTGACTCGACTAGACAAATCAAATGGTAGTATTTTCACTCAAATCGGATCATTGAACGTTAAAATATTGCATCTTAAAGTAGCCGGAGTGACCCAGAGCGAGAAAGATGATCTATTTTAAAAATAGTCAATGAAAGAGTTTCGTGATTAAATGTCCAGCAAAAAAAATAATTCGATTTTGTTAAGTCAAATGAACTAATGATTCTGACGAATTAGAATATTCCTGACGCGAAATCACTGATTCTCCAAGGTAGTGAAAATAGATTCGAAAATATTGTATTTGAAATGTTTTTTTACGACTCGTTATGTGTCAGAACTGAATTTTAATACTTTTATTTTGTTAATAATGTTATAACGGAGATTCACTATAACATATCCGTTATAGCGGGTTGGAGTGTATGTCATAAATTCAATAATTTAGTAAAATGTTTAAATAGAAAAATATAAATACTTAGAAAAATTCAAGGATATCTTTTGCATCGTTAGTGATTAATCCTTCAGTCATACATGTCATTTCAATTCAACTCACTTTACACCAAAGAAACTTGCCGAATAAACCTCATCAACCAACTCCTGATCTCCACAAGCCACCACATCTCGCCAATTTACACTCTTTCTTACCTCCTCCCAATTATCCGAGATATACTCCAACGCGACCCTCTTCAATGCGACATTGCCAATCCGCCACGCAAACACCAACACTCGATCCCAATCTTTGCTTTTTCCGAGGCACTTCAATCGCGACTCAACAGCTTTCTGGAGATTTTCCATGTCCATCATGTCGGCCTTTGAGTGAATCTCGAATAGCGCTTCGAGCGGGAGATTTCGTTTCAGATTGCCGGTGTAAATGTAATTGATTATCGCTTGGAATGAAGAGTATGTAACGTCTTTGATTGGAATCGTGGAAAGAAATGATTCTAGGAATCCGCCGGTAAATAGTGTTTTGAAATATGCAGAAGCGGTGCCAAGTACTAGTCGATGTGCTTTTACACGTCGTCCACAATCTAAAATAAATTCAACGTCACAAAATGTTTCGTCATTCAAGTAATCGGAACTTTGACACGGTAGTTGATTATTACTTTGTGGTGTTATTGTAGAGTTCTGCATCATCTTATTTAATGGATTATAATATCTATTATTTATATCATTCTCATTATTTTCTCGTTCGAATCTAACCCTTAAAATCAAATCAACAGATTCTTCGTCACACCTCTTTCTCTTTGCACGATTTCCAAAAATATCATTGAATTTCGCAAATGTCAAAAATCGATTATGATAATTTCGATCACGACCGAAAAAGAATTTTCCGAGTGGTTCAGATCGAGTCGCGATTAACTCTGGGTTCTCAGAATCTTTATTGATCACGCGAAAAAGATCAAGTGTGTAATTGACAATTCGCTTCGTGATACCCCGCGAGAGTTCATATGCCGTTTTGTAGCCAATTAACATTGTAGCAAGGTGATCAGGGTTTGTGGTGGTACCTTTTGGCCAGATACCTAGACGCCAGAGGTAAGATGTTTCCTCCTCCTCCTCCGCGTCGTTTTCTTTGAGAATGCATGTTCGTGATCTGATACTTGTGATTTGTGATGAATCGATGGGAATTCCTGGTGATAGAAAAGTTTCACTTAAAATTGGACTGTTGATTAGAATTCGTTCGTTATAGTGTTGAAAGTCGTTGAGTTTCCAGTTGAAAATAAATGAGGATCTTTTATTACTATCTTTATCGTTATTATTATTATTGATGATGGATGATTGCATATTCTTATTATTGGTTATTATTGATCGATATACGTATAACGATAAGAGTTATATCCTAAAATATATCGATATTGAATAAAAGAACACAAAGTACAACAGTCGTAAAATCAACAAGTAGTCATATCAAGAAAATAATCACCAAAAAGTAAATTCTATTAATAGACGTTATACAAAATTGTCGTTCATTTGTACATCAAACCTTGGCAAACAATTTTCTAGAATGTTCGCGTGACAGATCTCGTGACGCGGTGTTTCCGGTGCCGCCGCAACACGATGAAAGTACATGTATACCGATACACAATGACGATTGATTTGGTTGATGTGGAAAATAATACCGATACATTTTATCGTTATCGTTATCATTACATGTACATGTATTTGACTTTATTAAACTTAAAATAAATTCAATATCGATATGCATTAAAAACGATTGAAAACGGATTTGTTGTCGTTACGTTATGTATGTAGCAACGATGCTATGATTTACATTTAATACAAAATTTTATCTTCATAAATATCGAAATTATAATAACTACCTTGAACAAACACACAATAAAAAATGATTATACCGTTTCCAAATGAAGTTTGGATAAATATTGTTAAGCAGTATTTTAAAATCTCTGGGTATCTCTTTTAGTTATCCAAGAATTGATCTGAATATTTTCCTCTTTTTGAAATATATTAATAATCTCTGTTTATCTGAATTTAGGCTTCGGGAAACTTGGTTGTTACGAGGAATCTCTCATGATTTCCAATCGTTTGTCGTATCCGCTATTTATGAAGAGTTTAAAGAGAACTTTGAATGTTTCGTAAAGATCTTTAGATGGGTAATTTATCGTATAATCGTAATTTTAAGTCTGGTTCTGTAATTAAAGGATGTTTTTAACAAAGCAGAAAAAGGATGTTGAACTATGCAGTCGCACATTCGAATACACGAATGTCTCGTTATTACAACCATCAACCACCAGCCAAAACATAAACAATGAACTGTATGTCATCCTAAAGCCAACACATCACACTGGCAAATTAATTGAGGAAGAAGAAACGCTCCTCACTCAGATACGAGTACATATATACCTCTATTCGGAGTTCACAAACGGATACGGTAAGACGTACATTTCAGGTAAGAACCTTGTGTTGGATTCACGTATCAAGTATCCGCGTAGAATGGCGTTTTCGTTCTCGAATGAAAACAACCACGTTGATGTGGCGCCAGTTGACAAAGCTGTTGTCCCAGTAGCGGAATCAGCAGAGGAAAGAAAAGAGTTTTTTGAAGAATGTAATCTTTGTGAGATCAGGATTCCGCTGCTCATGACTTTTTCCAGTGTGGCGTGTCGGCTGAATTTTCATTTTTAGTTGGATGGTTAGATTTAAGGTGGTGACGGGCATAGGCAGCATTTCATCCATTATAAAGTAACAATGTTTAATGTAATTTGGATTGGCTTTACGATAAAGATACTTTACTATCATTTCTATAGCATTAGAAAAACTTCGTGTGCATTTTTATTACTTTGCAGTTCTGGTAGAATTCAACAATTAAAATTGTCTATGAAGACTAATAAGCACATACACAGTGAGCCTCGATACTACGATCTATTAGTTGAAAATTTCAAAAATCCAATAAATCCGTTCTATCGAATAGACTGCTTTGGACCGTGATCCGCTATATCGAGGTTCACTTTTTGATGTATATAAATCTTTTCCGAATTTCAATATAATCAATTCTTTCAAAAACTAATACATAAAAATTTTATTTCTTTATGGCTGAATCCAAGTCTCCTCCGAAGCGACCAAATGCCTCATCTAAGCCATTACCACGCCACGGAATAACAAATTTGTACTTTAATTAAATGTTCTACAGAACCACCCACGTCGATTTTTCCGTTGTCGTCGAGCCGAATTTCGATCTGTCCCTTAATAGGATTCAACTTTGGTTGCTGTTGTCAGAAGGTAAGTCAGGTTCAGAAGCTATAGTATTTGAATTTGCTCATAACTTTCAAATCCTTGTTTGCGGGCAACTAGATTTCTCGAGTGACTCCTTGATCTTTTGTACTAATTGCGTCACTGAGAAGAATCGGTTTTACTGAATGATTTTTATTAATGTGAAATTCCATTATATAACAATAGTACTTGACCAAAGCAATATAGAAGCGAATAGCATTTTAATCATCTTTTCTGGTCTTTCTATTGTCACTATTTTCAGAGTCATTGCCTATGATCATATTTCTGAAATATGGCGAGTGACTGTGTTCAATTGAAAGGTCAGACTACTGAACTATCAAAACTTATAATTTAAATATCAATAGCAAATGACGTTTTATAGTGTTGATGATGTGACGTAAAAATTGAATCTTTCAAACGTTAATCGGTTCTTTATATGCAATCGCGATTGGTTCTGTTTTTGTATTAAAGGTAGAGTCATAGTATTTGGAGTAGTAGTGTCAGAACTTGGAGTAGTTTCCGTACCGGGAGTAAAATGTCGTATCAGATGGAATTAACTCAGAAGTTCAACGACTCTGTTTCTGTATTCAAATCAGCTGAGATCGCTTTTTAGGTGCAGGACAGTGTGTTCTCAGCGTTTTCATGAGAACATCAAATTGAAATGTGATTTCCAACACTGGTACAGGAGAAACAGAATCGGCAACTTTATTAGTGAAATCAACGGAGAATTCTGTAATTTGTGTCAGAAACGAGTTCTGTAATTGGCATAAAAGCAATTAGTTTCTGTAAATGAAGCAGAATTTTGCTCAGCAGCGGGTGCTGCAATGATAGTCTCTGGAATATTAGCGTTAGTCAAAATAATAGAGTTTGATCCCCAAACTAAATGACAAATCAATATTTATCCTCCGTCAAACAATTCTGGTTCTAAAAGATATTATGTGTTAAAAAGAAGTTAATCGAACAAATTATAAAGAAAATTATATGTTTGAATAGAAACGTCCACGGAAAAGGAATTTGCATTGATGATGTAGTTGGTATACTATTATATTTTCGTCAATGAAAGAATTTGAAAAATTTAGTATATTATGTATATTTGAAGATAGATATTAAATTTAGATATTTTAGTTAACTCAAAGCAAAGTTTTAATTCTTACTAGAAAGAATATATTATTTTCTAAATAAACTTGTAATACTTAATAATAGCTACAATTTGATATAATATACTTTATATTGATAACTAATATTGGTAAAATTATATTGATATTTGATTCGGAATTGATTCGGAATCAACACAGATTCAATTCCAATACGTTCCGTTACACTTCCGCGCGTAGTGTTTGTGAAAGGCCTATAACGAATCTTATTCACTCTACCTCTCATATTAATAAAACCTCCATGTAATCATATTATTATTTTCGACTTTGGAAGCTTTGAAAAAAATCGGAAACTATTGTTATTATTTAATTTTAACTCGATTTGCATGCGATTTCAAACCTCAAATCTTGGTCAATAAAAATAACAACAACAGTCACTTTCAAAATAATACTTACAAAACGTACATAATTTGAAATTCGTCTGAGTACTATATTTTTTGCTGTTGTAATGAAGTGTACATCTGAATCCAATAATCATAAGATCCGAGCGCCTTCGGCGGCTTGTATGTGACTAGATCGGTTGCACTATAAAATATTCTAAAATTTGTATAAGAAAAAAGATAAAATGATTTTAATACAAAATCAAAAAATTTGAAGAAATACAAATTCAAATAGAGTGAGAAATTTCGAATGATAATAAATATTATAAAATTATTAACAAATTAGTAGCTCCATTAAATGATTTGCTCGGCAAAGCAGGATAGTTTAGATAAAATATGTGCCGAATCACAACTTGTACAGTCAGCATCCTTTTGAAATTCAAAACTTTTCTGAAAATAAAAGCTACTTTTGAGATGTCTTCATCAAACTGGATTTATCGTTGAAAAAATGTTGCATTAGCATACACATATATGTAGAATTATAAAGTAATAAAACCCTTCAGCTCAGTTCCTTCTAGGATATGCTCATCAAAATGAAATCGGAACACAAAAAAGCATTCAAATGGTATTTGAAATCAGCTGAGGGTGGAGAGTCGAACGGACAATGGAAAGCTTGGTTTTTATCATGCTGAAGGAATTGGAACGCAAAAAGAGCATTTGAGTACGTAGTATTTGAAATCAGCAGAGGGTGATGATGCTACCCTATAAAAAAAATGTTCAACTATTGTCCGATATTGTTTAGCGTTAGCATTATTTTAAAACATTCATGCAACAATCATTCAATAAAAGTAGCATTTTCAAATCGCAGGATCATGTGTAACAGAAAAATTCAAAAACGTCTGTTTTTGAAAAATGGCTAGTACATGTATCTCAAAATTTTGTCTATGAAACCGTCTCTGATATTCTAACAAAAAGATTCCTTGTGAATTTTACTATATATTCTAATGCGCAATATAATATAAACTTAACTCTAACCTTATTCCTAACCATAATCCAAATGGTATTAATATTTTTATATTTTGTAATTTGATTGGTTACTTCTAAAAATCACGTGTCTAAATTTATGGCTAGGTTACTAGTACAAAAGTCGAACGTTTATGTTCAATATACATGTACATGTACATTCAACATTTGTCTAACATTTATCACATGGAAAATTGCTACTTTTGTTGAATGATTGTCGTATGAATGTTGTAAAATAATGTTGAACAAACAATTTGGACATTTGTCGGACATTAGTTGAACATTTTTATAGGGCTAGTGAACAATATCATCTCGGTTGGTATTATGAATATGGAATCGGAATACAAAAAATGATAAAAAAGCATACGAGCGGTATTTGAAATCGGAGACACACTGGGACAAAGCAATCTTAGAATATGTTATAATTTGGATTCGGAACACAAAAAGAAAAGCATTCGATTAGTATTTAAAATCAGTAGAGGATGGAAACCCAAGAGAACAATGTAATCTTGGTTGTTGTTAAATGGAATCGGAACTCAAAAAGATGACAAAAAAGCCCACGCTTTTATCAATGAAAGTACAAACTTGTAAATTACACTTGTTAACAAATGTTTCACTTAATTAACTTCAAATTTTGTATACAAGTAGTAAAAGATCTCAACTTTAAATAAGTTATATCTTGATTTTGTAGCTTGATTTTGTTATTTTAAATTATTTTTGTTATACTGGTATTATTTTGTTTAGACATTCTCAATAAGTTCTAGGTTATTTGGATAATTTTGTTCTATACTTAATTAGTATTTTGATTTTTAGTTATTTTGTTATATTTCTTTGAGAATTCCCTTATCTTTATTTTGTTTCAATTACAATCTTTGCAAAGATTGGCACAGAAGATCTTTAAAGAATACACTTTAATTGTAAATCAGCTAGCTCTACATACCAATTCTTTAATTACAGCAAATTTAGAATAATAGGAACAATGTATAAATTCAGTATTTTCCAGTTTTCTTTAAGTTCCTGATTATGAATGCTGTATTACCCATTATGATCTATAATAACTTTTCAGTAATTTTAGCCTTTTCTGATACATGTACTTGCATAATACAGTCGACTCTCGATATAATGACCATGCAGATCCTATTGTAAACAATATAAATTCAATAGAATCTGCATGGTCGTTATATCGAGAGTCGACTGTAAT